GAGGTCCGGGCAACCTGTGGTTGGGCTTTTCGGGGACTGCGGGATCCTCACCTGCAGAGTCTGGGTCCCTGAGCAGTGCAGCGCGCTCTGCTCCCCTCGACGCAGCTCAGCCGTGCTCATGGGACGCACCCTGGGATCCAAGAGAAGGCCAAAGGAGCCCTCCCGGTGTCTCCATCGGTCCCATTCTCTCCCAGGGTCCTCCTAGCCATCGGTACCCACCTGAGCACCACTTGGATGGGGGTTTCCTGCCCCTCTGGCCCGTGCTCCTGGCTCCGCGCGGGGTCCCTGTGGTGGCAACACATCACCGTCCCTGCAATAACCGCTTCCCTGCCCAGCTCTCCACTGGCAGCGTCGTTCAGGGGTCCCCAACAGCCCTGGAGCTCAGCCTACCCGTCGGGAGACCCGCGTTCCTCCATGTCCTGCTCTGAGCACAGCCTTTGCCCCCCACCCCGGTCCTTTTCCTCCCCGGTGCCCTCCCTTCTTCAGCACCTCCGGACTGGCCACAAACGCTTTACCCCCGCCCCCAAGTCCCAGGCAGCTATCCATCCGGAAAGGTTTCCACCTGCCCATGGCTGGCTAGTTAAACATTTACCCCCATACCCACAGCTGCGATCCGGAAAATCTCAAGCTAGGGTCCCCTAGCTAGGGGGTTCTAGAGTCTGGGGCTCCCTTGCTCCCGGCCAGACCATCCATCGGTAGGGGACCCACGGGACCACGGAGACCAGCCTTGTCAAGGCACAAATGCGGACAGGAGCTCGGCCTACCCAGGTCACAGAGCCAGCCAGAGCAGGGCAGAGACCAGGCTCTTGCTGCTTTCCTCCACACACGCTCCCTACCCTCCCAGAAGCTGCAGCCCAGTTCCCCCTCTGTGCCCAGTGAGGGGAGGGGCTCAAAGGAAGACCTGGCTGCTGAGAGCAGGTTGCCAGCATCTCATTAGGCACCGAGGCCCCTGCTGCTGTTTATCTCCCTGCTATGGCTTCTGATATCAGCAGAGAGGCCCTGGGAGGTGTTGGCAATCACTCATCCTTGTGCCATCTCCGGGGAATCCATGCACGTCCACTCCCAGCTGCCAGGCTGGCTGAGGAGGCAGGAAAGACCAATCCCGTGTGCGGGGCCTCAGGTGGAGGGGGCAGAAAGCACACATTTCCGGAAGGTAGGGGTAGAGTGTGGAGCAGTGGTCTGGGTCTGGACCCAACTCATGGAGGGCACTCCAAAGAGTCCAGGCTCACTCTTGGGGAACCTGGAAACCATTGAGAGTTGTGAACAGGAAAGTGGCACCATCAGAGTGACATAATAATTATTACTATCATTGCCCACCTACCTTCTCTGAGTACTTCTGCCAACTCCTCTCCCCTAAACACTTTAAGGTGATGAACCCTAAAAGTAATCCCCCACCACAGATGGTGGCTGACTACCAAAGCCACCCCTACTAGGGAGTGAGCTGCCCGTGAGCTGGAGGTGTGCCAGCAAAGCCCATTGAATTTTAGCCACAGGACATTCTGGAAGAGTTTTGTAGAGCAAAGAATCACAGGTACCCACTCTGCCACTAACTTGCCATGGAGTCTCGGCCTTTCTTACCCTCTGTTGTCCGGTGAACAGGGGTTAATAATCTCTGTCCTATTTTTCTTGGTTGCTCTGAGATTCCAATGGGACAGTGTAATTAAAAAATGATTCATAAATTTTAAAGAATTACCTAAAAACATAAATAAAAGTTCCTAAATGATCTCCAAGATCGTTTTCAACTATGGGTTTCTTTAATCTATTGCATTTTTTGAATCCCTGAGATGGATAGGACCAGAATTACTACCCTTGTTTTTCAGATGAGAAAGCAGAGGTAATTGAGAGATGACACATTACAGGAAAAATCAACCATCTATTGGCAAATCCAAGACTGAAACCAGGAACTAACCCCAGGCCCATCAGTCATTTGCATCTTCGTGTGCATTGTTTAAATCAGATTACACTTCTATGAGTCTATGATCACCCAAGGTGTTTTGATGAAAGCACAAAGACAAGGAGGTGTATGTTGGGGGCCTGATAGCTGTTCCTGGGAATTTTGTACCAGGGTTCCCGGTCTGGTTCAGAAGTGTGCATCCTTCACTTCCACAAGCAGGAGCACAGTTTTGCTTCTGTCCTCTAACAGTGAGTGCCTCCATCTGCTACCCTCAACTTGAGCATTCACAAGTATTTACTAAGCCTCGTCCATGTGTCAGGCTTCTAGGCATTTGAGATACATTAGTGAGCAAAGTAGATAAAAATCCCTGTCTTCTAGTGAGGTGGGAGAGACAGATGAGAAAAACAAGCATATAAATAGTTTACGTAGCACATTAAGAACTTCTGTGCTAGGAAAAATGCCAGTCAGGACGAAGGAGCATGAGAGTGTGGGAATGGGACAAGCTGTAGTTTAAATAGGAAGGTCATGAAATACTTTCCTGAGAAGGGAACGTTTTCATGAAGGCCTTAAGGAGTAAAGTGAATTAGCTAAGCAAGCCAATACTTGGGGGAGAAATACCCAGTGCACTTGTGCTACAGTAGAGACAAAAGAGTGTCAGAGACAAGAGACTGCACAGGTTCCAGGGACCTGATCTTCAACCAAACTTGCAGCCACTTGACTTTGGCTTTTCCTCTAAGTTGATGATGGGGGTTGAGAGAAGTGGTCTTGAATAGAGTTAATGTTTGTTAAGACAATGGGTTGAATACATAAGAGAAGTAAGGATAAATATAAGCTCCTAGCACATTTTAAACTGCTGGAAACCAAAGACAGAGAAAACCATTTAAAAGCAGCTATAGGAAAAAATACATAGCCTTCAAATCAGCAACCATGAAACTGACCATTCTTTTCCATTAGAAATTCTGAACTCTAACAAACAATGGAATGATATATTTAAAGAGCTCAACTTAAAAATGAGAACCAATACCTGTCACGTAAAGGTACAAGATCCCAATAATGAGTGTAACTGTACTGTATACCTAAAATGTACCAATAAACTCAATTAAAAAAACAGCCAAAATGTACAAGAAGTCCCAATGTCCATCAACAGATGAATGGATAAGAAAGTGTGGTATGTACTTACGATGGACCATTATGCCACATGAAGAAAAAAGGAAATCCTATTACATTCTACAAACAGTACGGATGCACCTTGGGAATATATGCTCCATTAAATAGGCCTATTACAGAAGGACAAATACTGTGTGACTCAATTGATGAAAAGCACCTCAAATAGTCTAGTCATAGAAACAAAGTAGAAATATGGTTGCCAAGAACTGAAGGAAAATTATTGTTTAATAGGTACAGAGTTTCAGTTTTGCAAGATAGAAAATGTTCGAGAGATCTACTGCAAAACAATGTGAATATACCTAACACTGTACACTCAAAATCATTAAGATGGAAAAATTCATGTTATGTGTCTTTACCACAATGAAAAAATAGCACTAATTCAGAGGAAAAAAAAATAAAAATAAAGAACTGAACTTATAGGGATGGAAGGAGAGGGGACGTAGGGAAGAAGGAAAGGAGAAGGGAAAGTAAAAAGGATTAAGATGCAGCATGGAAACCAAGCAACTTCTCATGATGAATATATTCCTTATGTACTGCAAATGTGTGCTAAAAACATTTGAAAAGAACTGAGCTTAAAAATTAAAATATCAACTTTGGATTATATGCCCAGCAAAAGTGCCCTTCACAAACATCAGTAAAACAGATATTTTTGAACAAGCAGAAGCTAATTTAATTCACTCTGGTCAGTCACCTTGACAAGAAATACCACAGG